TGATAATGGGCCTCTGTACGCCTATGTAGATATTCCATTAAAAATCAGCCGTTTCCAGCTACAATAGCCATTTACAACATTAACCATGTCTACACTGTATTTCTGATCAATTTGATGTTATTTTAATGGACCAAAAAATTGCTTTTCTTTCGAAAACAAGGACATTTCTATGTGAACCCAAACTTTTGAACGGTAGTGTACATCAGTCAAATGCCACTGCTCCTACACATTTTCAACCTACTATGCTTTGTCTAAGCGTGTGAATATATATTTACATCAGCTCATCTATAGTCCCTCATTATGGAAACGGAAATAACAACAATGTGTTAAATATTCATCATAACCAGCTATTTATTTCCTGCAAAGTTAGCTGCTCTCTTTTCAGAGTGGCACATGCCATGGAATGTTGGCCCTGTTATGTGTTCTGTGTTGTGTGTTCTGTGTTCCGTTCTGTAGCATAGATTCTATATTCTGGGTTTGGGATCAGATGTCTCTTGACCATTTGACAATGATACCATTGTGACAGGCTACTCCATACGTATCAAAGCAGCACTGATTAACCAGTTGACAGGGCTGGAGAACAATACTGCCCTTCACTGCATAGAGACAGTACAGCCACTCAGACCCTAACCCTGACACTGAATGAAAGTAACACTGGTCCCATCCCAAATACTCTACATGGAACAAAAATAACCACATTTAGGATTATGCTAAATAAAGTTCTTATATAGTTCCAGAAGCCTTCTAAGCTTTTCTTCAATGTATTTTCATGGATAAGCAAGCATGTTGTTATTAGCCTACATGTGTTATGATTCTCACCAATTTGGGTTACTGAATGTCTGTGTAGGCCTAATAATTTTAACTACAGGCTGCACCCAAGCAATAACTAGATTAAAAAAAACAGATTCCATCAACTAGTTTATTACAAAATTATAATAAGCTTATTTACTGTGATTTGAATTACACATTTGTCTAGATATGGTTGTATTTAAAAAGGGCCCACTGAAATAATCTGCTATCTTTTCATATAATTGTATATCAGATGAATCCTTTACCTTTTATTCGTTGCAAATATTCTGGTCATGTTTTACAGTAGCCACATTAAATTGAATTTCTCGGCGCCCAGAAGGAACGACCTATGATCCGTAAACAAACTGATCTGGCCAATCAAGTGAGCGGTCTGGTGTGGATCAGCGCTAGGGAGTGAGAGCTGAGCGTAAAAAAAACTCGTTCACTTTTGCCAAACTCCGAAATTGACGCATCATATCAGAATTTTTTCACCGCCCATATTCACTGGGACTATTTTACCTAAGAATAAATAAATAAAAATCGTTTACATTTTTTGTTTTTGCTTCAAGATATTGCAACATTGTAAATAACTTAACACTACGTATTCCCGTGAAAGCTGAAGTCACCGTGATACTGAAACTTGGACCTATCATCAACTGAAAGTGGACTTGAGTCTTCTGAAAATCTATCTTGAAGTCATAATTTGCTGATTTTTATTGCCTTTAAAAACAAACGTCTCATTAACAAACCGAGGACATCTTGGGGATTAAACCGACCTGCTCGACCTGGTCATGGTTATTATTGGACTTTTTTGGACCTAAGCATGGACTGTTGGCAGGTGTCTGTTTTGTGTGTTATATTTATATCATGTCTACAGCCCACATCGTCTCAAACACAAGAAGGTAGGTGCTTTTATGAATGGCGATATGTGTCACTAAATCAACTAGCCTACAAATCAACTACAAACTTTGCATATAGAGTTGTAAACCAGCAAATCAATCCAATGTGTATAGGCTGTACATACTTTTTAAATCAAGCATTCTTGAATTGTTTTTATTATTTTCATGAGAATGTATCACTGTTGATGACACACACACACACACACACACACACACACACACACAAACACATTTGTTAACCTTGACCTTAAAAGCCTAAAAAATAGCCCCTTTCCTTGTTGGGACCGGCAACATGTCATTGTTTAACTATCCTAGGACTTCTGGTACCCACAAGGATAGTAAAACCAAACCACACACACACACACCCACACACACACACACACACACACACACAAAGTATATTTCTCAAGTTGCATTTCTGTTCCCAAAGTTTGGTTTGGTTTGGTTTATTTGGATCCCCAATAGCTTTTGCCGTAGCAGCAGCTATTCTTCCTGGGGTCCACACAAAAACATAAAACACCACAAGTAACAAAACACTGATACACTGTTAACTGTTATTTTCCTGTTTCACGTGAGAGGGTGTGTTGGTCTATCTCCTGGTCTTGGTGACTGCACAGGAATCATCTGTTTGCACTCTGAGTCACAGTTGAGCAGAACAGTAGAGCAGAGCAGAACAGCTGAACACAGCCCAGCTACCTGTGGCCCTGACAGTGACAGGTCAGCATCTCCAACACTAGAACAAGTATCAGTCAAGGCTTTTGGCAGGTTGTTGTGGTGGACTCAGATGATAATACACCTAAGTGTTTAATGTGCTGTTTCATCCACTTGAAAGTGTGAAACCTCTGGTTGGTTTAATGGAACTAATGGGACAAGAACATGTAGACTCAATAAAGGTAGACAATGTCCTATTGTGTGTAGACTATAAAAAGGTTGACTCAGTATATGCCCCAGTAAACACCTCTTGGGTGTTCAGTTGACTCTTTCAATGATTAACCATCCCTACTATATCCTTCTCTCTTTCTCTTTCTATCTTTCTTTCTTCATTCTCACTCTTACGTTCTTGTTCTTCCTTTCTTGCTCTCTCTGTCTATCTCTCTCTCTCTGTCTCTCTCTCTCTCGCGCGCGCGCTCTAGCTCTCTCTGTCTCTGTATCTCTCGCTCTCTCTCTTTCTCTCTCTCTCTCTCTCTCTCTCTCTCTCTCTCTCTCTCTCTCTCTCTCTCTCTCTCTCTCTCTCTCTCTCTCTCTCTCTCTCGGTCTCTCCCCTATCTCTCTCACTCTCCCCCCTTCCCTCTATTTTAGAGGTCAGATAGCTGCTCTGTTCTTCTCTCAGAGGAGGGAACTTTTTGCTACACACATTACCACGCTGTAATAAGCCTCTCTAATTGCAGTAATATGTCAGCCATTTAGCAAATGCTGGCAATGTGCCACACACACAGAGCTGATATCCTGTGTCAGGGGACACAAGTGACTGAGAGGCTATTGCCCCTGTTGTAAAGGACACTGGAGGTCAATTGGCCCATTCAAATGAATGACTCTTGTTGCTTTGAGTGACTGTTGGCGGTTGTTTACCAGTGGGGAGCGCTGCGTTGGGTGTATACAATATTTGGTCGTAGTTTGCGTATTTTGCAGTTCATGTTGGAATTGAGTAGTTAATAACGTGACATCCCAATTCTCTGGTAGATAAGAGATCATTTCAGTGGCGCATGCTTTGATGCTTTCAGCAAAATAGGATTATGTGCTTGTGTGCGTGTCCATGCGCATGTCTATATTTTACTTTTTCTTCACTCTCTTTTCTTCTGTCCAGTCAACTCCCATCTATGTGTTTGCAGAGGGCTAAAACTGCCCTTTGAGCCGAATCAGTGTGTGCTGTGGCTGGATTATGTGTTTTGTCCTATCCTTTAGAACTCCATTCCTCTTCTGGGACAATATTTGCTCAGGAGTATGTGTGAATGAACGAGTGTACAAAGATATGGATTACCCATAGGGGTGTGTGTGTAAGTGCGTGCCTATGTACGTACGTGTGCATGCATACGTGCTTTCATGCAAGTGCGCGCGCCTCTCAGACTTCTCAACATTTTAAGAGCCATCCTTGTCAACCTGCAACACTCCATGTATTAGTCATCCTCTGATACCATTCACAAGCTACTGATAAGAAGATAAGCTGAGAAGCTGAAGTTCAGATGTAGTGGTGAGGTGTTCCCATTAAATTGTGAGCTACAGCTGCTCAAACAATCGAGACAGTTGAAGGGAATGACTAATGTGATAATAAGGAAGAACATTTTTATTTCATTGTGTCCAGTCACGCATGCAACTGCTCGAGTTGAATAGCTATGGAATAGATTTAGATTACGGTATAGTGGATTTGTTTTGTCTCTTGAGGATTGTCGACCTTTGGTGGAAGGATATCCTTCTCAACTATTGCATATATGCAGATGCACAATGTGCATGCATAACATAGCGAAAATATGATAGGATGTGTCAATACAGTGTTGTGTATTTTGATGCTGTTTCGATTGGAGGAGCCTTCCCTACACTTACAGCAGATGCATATTCACCATGAATGTGTCTGCACAATATAGAGAGATGTTACTGTGAATGTGTAGAGCTTACACTGCACAATATCTGTGCATGTGACTGTTATGGAACTGGTAAATAAGAGATGGTCTGCATGTCTCCTTCCTGCCTCTCTATCTCCCCTCCCTTGACCAGACTGGAGTTCTCTTCTCACACATGGCCTTTTGTCCCATTGCCATGATCTCAGCACTGTGGGTCCCCTATCACACACATACACACACAGAAGTACTATCTGTCACTGTATCACTCTTACTTGGAATCTGACTGGGACACACTGTCCACATTTATAGCTCAGACCTTTACAATGCTATTCTTTGTCTGGCAAGACCATGTTCCCCCCATCCACCCTCTATCAGCCTCAGGCCTGGTCCACTACATGTAGAGGGGTTATGGCCTGCACTGCTTCAAACACTGCTACAGACATGTTTCAAACATATCAACAGATATAACATCAAACACAGCTACAGACACTGCTACAGACACTGTTTCAGACATATCAATATACAAAACATCAGACATAGTGTTACAAGTGTCAATAGATTATTCATTACAATTATAGATCACTCATCAACGTGATGAATCCAAATGTCTAGGTACACTAAGTCTGTTGAGCACGTTGTGACATATGTATTTGTAGAAAAGTGCTATGGAATTTGACTGATAAACTTTATGAACAACTCTGACAACAAACCATCTGTAGTGTGATGTTCCTTCTTTCCTGTGTGTGTGTCCTCAGTGGTGTGTCCTGGTACCCAGAATGGCCTGAGCTCCACAGGATCCCAGGAGAACCAGTACAACCTGATCAAGGACCGCTACACAGGCTGTGAGATCATCATGGGTAACCTGGAGATCACCCAGATAGAGAGTGACTGGGACTTCTCCTTCCTAGGGGTGAGAGAGCAGCCATGTTGTTCTATTATCTCTTGTTGTTGTCGTCTTCTTCTTCTTCTTCTTCTTCTTCTTCTTCTTCTTCTTCTTCTTCTTCTTCTTCTTCTTCTTCTTCTTCTTCTTCTTCTTCTTCTAGTCCATGAGACATGTCCATGAAGCCTCCACTGGTAATCGAGGTAATCTGGTAATGTGACTGTCTCTAACCTTATTCTAACTCCTGTCCCTCCAGACCATCAGAGAGGTAACCGGCTACATCCTAATCGCCATGAACCACTTCAGACAGCTGCCTCTGGAACAGCTGCGTGTGATCCGTGGTAATACCCTGTACGACCGGGGCTTCGCACTCTCGGTATTCCTCAACTACCCCAAGGAGGGCTCCAATGGACTGCAGCACCTGGGACTCACACACCTCACCGGTGAGGAGAGGAGATGGGGGAGGGGGATGGGAGGGAGGAGGGGATGGGGGAGAGGAGAGTACAGAAGGAAAGAGGAGAGTAGAGAAGGGGGGATAGTGGATAAATTGAACTGGCGCTACCCTGGGTCAAAGAGAGAGCCAGGCAGAGTCAAGCTCCAGTACCTAATGGGTCCAAAGAGGACTAGGATATAAAGTAGGATACAAATCAAATGAAATCAAATGTTATTTATGCGCCGAATTCAACTGGTGTAGACTTTACAGTGAAATGCTTGACTACAAACCTTTCCTAACGATGCAGAGTTTTAAAAAGAATGATACAAAATAAATAGTAACTAACACAAGAGGAATAAAATAAAATACACAAGAATGGAGCTATATACAGGGAGTACCAGTAACAGATCAATGTGCAGAGGTACGATGTATTTGAGGTAGATATGTACATGAAGGCAGGGTAAAGTGACTAGGCATCAGGATAGATAATAATAACAGTAAAATGAAGAACAGAGTAGCAGCAGCAATTTTTGAGTGTAAAAGTGTGTGAGTGTGCGTATGTATTGTTTGAATGAGTGGGAGTTTTGTGTGGGAGTGACAGTGTAGTGTGTGTGATTGAGTGTGTATATGGTGTGTATATAAAGTCTCGTGAGTGTGTGTGCAAGATATGTGCAAGATATGGTTAGTGCAGATAGTTTGGGTACCATTAATTTACTATTTAGCAGTCTATTTAAAGTGCTAACCCTAACCCAAACCCTAACCCTAGCTTCATGTCCACATCTCGGTTCAACCCTAACCCTAGCTTCATGTCCACATCCTGGTTCAACCCTAACCCTAGCCATAACCCTAACCCTAGCCATAACCCAAGCTTCATGTCCACATCTCGGTTCAACCCTAACCCGAACCCTAACCCTAGATATAACATAACCCTAGCTATAACCTTAACCCTAACCCTAGCTATAACCTTAACCCTAACCCTAGCTATAACCCTAACCCTAGCTATAACCCTAACCCTAACCCTGGCTATAACCCTAACCCTAACCCTAGCTATAACCCTAACCCTAGATATAACGTAACCTTAGCTATAACCTTAACCCTAACCCTAGCTATAACCCTAACCCTAACCCTAGCTATAACCCTAACCCTAACCCTAGCTATAACCCTAACCCTAGATATAACGTAACCCTAGCTATAACCCTAACCCTAACCCTAGCTATAACCCTAACCCTAACCCTAGCTATAACCCTAACCCTAGATATAACGTAACCCTAGCTATAACCCTAACCCTAACCCTAGCTATAACCCTAACCCTAGCTATAACCCTAACCCTAGATATAACGTAACCCTAGCTATAACCTTAACCCTAACCCTAGCTATAACCCTAACGCTAGCTATAACCCTAACCCTAGCTATAACCCTAACCCTAGCTATAACCTTAACCCTAGCTATAACCATAACCCTAGCTATAACCCTAACCCTAGCTATAACCCTAACCCTAGCTATAACCTTAACCCTAGCTATAACCCTAACCCTAGCTATAACCCTAACCCTAGCTATAACCCTAACCCTAGCTATAACCCTAACCCTAGCTATAACCCTAACCCTAACCCTAACCCTAGCTATAACCCTAACCCTAACCCTAGCTATAACCCTAACCCTAGCTATAACCCTAACCCTAACCCTAGCTATAACCCTAATCCTAGCTATAACCCTAACCCTAGCTATAACCCTAACCCTAACCCTAACCCTAGCTATAACCCTAACCCTAACCCTAGCTATAACCCTAACCCTAGCTATAACCCTAACCCTAACCCTAGCTATAACCATAACCCTAGCTATAACCCTAACCCTAGCTATAACCCTAACCCTAGCTATAACCATAACCCTAACTATAACCCTAACCCTAACCCTAGCTATAACCATAACCCTAGCTATAACCCTAACCCTAGCTATAACCCTAACCCTAGCTATAACCCTAACCCTAGCTAAACCATACCTAGCTATAACCCTAACCCTAGCTATAACCATAACCCTAGCTATAACCCTAACCCTAGCTATAACCTTAACCCTAGCTATAACCATAACCCTAGCTATAACCCTAACCCTAGCTATTTACATTTACATTTTAGTCATTTAGCAGACGCTCTTATCCAGAGCGACTTACAGTTAGTGAGTGCATACATTTTCATACTGGCCCCCCGTGGGAAACGAACCCACAACCCTGGCGTTGCAAGCGCCATGCTCTACCAACTGAGCTACAGGGGACTATGGGACTAGCTATAACCCTAACCCTAGCTATATAACCCAAACCCTAATCTTAGAGAGAGAACTAAAAGAGTACAAATTAAATGAGGACGGAGGAGAAATTATAGAGAGAACGGAAGAGAAGAGGATAGAGTCCAGACAGGGAAGACAAAATATGTAATATGTGTAATGTGTTTACTCTTACCAATGTGGAAAGAGGAATACGTGAGAAGACACTATGTCATGTGTAGAGTGTGTGGGAGGCAGTAGCTAGGAACCTCTTGTGGTTACTGTAATACACCACAACCTCAGTGTTCAGACAGGTGTGTAATGTAGCATGGCGAGGGGGGAGGGGTGAGGAGGGGGTGAGGTGGGGGAGTGAGGGGGGATTGATGCTAAAGACCTGACTAATGACTCTATTGTGCATTCCAAATGGCAACCTAATCCCTTTATAAAGCATGGCTTTGTTCAAAGTAGTGCACTATAGGCCTATAGGGAATGGGTTGCCATTTGGGACGCTGCCTATACTGTGAAAGCAGAGCTTCCAGTATTACCAACAACATAGGGTTTCACCTTAAGTTGTATCTGTGTGTTTGTGTCAAACGTCTTACACAAACCTACCAGCTTCCCAGAGAGGAGCAGGTTCTTCCTACATGCTCCAGCAAGTCTGGGTTATTGTTTAATGTAAGGGGAGGCAAACTGGATCTGTCTCCCCGTAGAATTCCTGCCAACTGATTCCTCTTCCCCTCTCTCTCTCCTCTCCTCTCTCTCTCTCTCTCTCTCTCCTCTCTCTCTCTCTCTCCCTCGTCTCTCCTCTCTCTCTCCTCTCTCTCTCTCCCTCTCTCTCTCTCTCTCTCTCTCTCTCTCCTCTCTCTCTCTCCTTCTCCTCCTCTCTCTCTCTCTCTCTCCCTCTCTCTCTCTCATACAATTTCAATTTAAGGGCTTTATTGGCATGGGAAACATATGTTACATTGCCAAAGGCAAGTGAAATAGATAATAAACAAAAGTGAAATAAACAATAAAAAATAAACATAAACATTACACTCCAAAAGTTCCAAAAGAATAAAGACATTTCAAATGTCATATTATGTCTATATACAGTGTTGTAATGATGTGCAAATAGATAAAGTACAAAAGGGAAAATAAATAAACATATGGGATGTATTTACAATGGTTTTTGTTCTTCACTGGTTGCCCTTTTCTTGTGGCAACATGTCTGTCACGACTTCCGCCGAGGCTGCCCCCCCTCCTGGTTCGGGCAGGCTTCGGCGTTCGTCGTCACCGGAGTACTAGCTACTGCCGATCCCATTCTCATCACTCCACTTGTCATGTCTTGTCAATCACACACACCTGGTGCTCTTTCCCCTAATTAGTATGTGTATAAGTGTTCCTTCTGTTCCCCTTGTCTTTGTGAGTGATTGTTTTGTTGTGAGAGCGTGTAGCGCGGTTGAGCTACATTTCACTGTGTATTTGCCAAGGTGGATGTTTTCCCTTGTACAGTTTCGTTTGCCGCTTGGGGCGTTTGATTTATGCAAACGGATTAAACTCTGGACTTCGGTATTTTACCTCCTGCGCCTGACTCCTTCTTTCACACCTCGTCACAGAATCACTCACCTGATCTGATATGGAGTCAGCAGGAGAAGACCGCATGCCTGGAGTTGTGGCAAGGGTCCAGGAGCATTCCTCAATTTTGGCCAGCTTGGGGGAAGCGATGGATTGGGTTCTACAGGTGGTTGAATGCCTGGAGAGGAGAGGATCCGATCTATCGAGACCAGCTGGTCAACTGGATCCAGCCACCTACACCCCAGCCCCTGGAGGGATCCAGATATCCTGGCCACCAGCATTTGACGGGACTGCAGCGCGATATAAGGGATTCCTACTCCAACTGGAGTTGTATTTCTCCAGCATCAAACCGGAGCCCCGGGAGCGGGAGAAGGTATCCGTCCTCGTTTCCTGCCTTTGTGGGAGAGCCCTGGAGTGGGCAAACGCGGTATGGAACAAGGGAGGTACCATGTTGGAGAACTACGGGGAGTTTTCTCACCTCTTTCAGGCAGTTTTTCATCACCCGCCTGAGGGTCGAGAGGCGGGCAAACGACTGGTTCATCTAAGGCAGGGGACGATGACCGCTCAGGAATACGCGCTGGAGTTCCGGACGCTGGCAGCGTGGTCCGGGTGGAATGAGCGGGCCCTGATAGACCATTTCCGGTGCCACCTAAGGGAGGACGTCCGACGGGAGCTAGCCTGCCGGGATGCCATGCTATCGTTCTCCCAACTGGTGGACATGGCCATCCGCTGGACAATCTGCTCGCAGCAGAGGATGTCCTGGTAGGGGTCTTCCCGTTTCCCACTCTGGATGACTCTGACCCGAGGCAGATGGAGCTGGGGGAGCCGCCGGTCCCAACGCTCGGCACACCACCCAAGCTCCGCCCCTGTGTCTTCTTTTCTAAGAAGCTCAACTCGGCGGAGCAGAACTACAGCGTTGGTGATTGGGAGCTGCTGGGCTGTTGTCCGAGCTTTGACGGTGTGGAGACATTGGCTCGAAGGGGAGAAACACCCTTTCCTTGTCTGGACAGACCACCGTAACCTTGAGTACATTCGGGCAGCGAGGAGGCTGAATCCTCGCCAGGCCAGGTGGGCCCTCTTCTTCACCCCGGTTTGATTTCACACTCTCATACATTCCGGGTACGAAGAACGTGAAGGCAGATGCACTGTCTCGGCTGGTATGACACAGAGGAGAGGCCCAGAGACAACACCCCCATACTCCC